ACAAAAACAAAGTATTATAGTAAGAGGCTCATTGCCATACATCCACTCAGAATACTTCCCATTGGTTTGAATATACTTATCAAATTGTTCCTGTCACTTTCAGAAACCATTCTGGAAGTCCTTTTATATGAGTGTCTTTAGGTGCACTGTCATGGCTGCTTTGATGTCATGAATCAGTTAAAAATATTTACTTATCATGGTCATTTGGACTTTAGGAAAGAATCCAAAGGTTTGTGGTATCAGACCTGGACAATAGGGTAGGGTGGTACTCCACAATATTTTTATAACACTGCTTTTCCATTGAATGCCACTCACCAATAGCGTTCACCACACTGGTGATCACATCTACAAAAGCTGCTCATGAGCCTGAACCCTTGTTCTCTCTCATCGGTGAGCCTAACTTATCCCTCCTGTGCTAAGGTTCCATCAGCTATACACTGAATGAATATATTAGCAATCATAATTGTCCCACAAGTTGTTGAAAAAATTAAGTGAATCATCACATGTAAAATGAACAGTTTTAAGGGACAGCCAAATATCTAAGTGGATTAAAGTGCCTACAAACAGGCACAGGGGCTGGATATTCAATCCCTGGGCCTGCTGTGCCAGTCCTGTCCCTGGGGCAAGCTGAGACGGCAATTGAGACTGGGTGTGGTGGCACGTGCCTGTAATCCTCGCTCTTGGGAGACTGTAAACAGGAGGATCACTATGAGTCCTATCTAGTAGTGAGACCCTGAAAACCTTGTAGACCCTTCCCTAAAATACGGAAAATAAATAAATTAAAAAATAAAATAAAATGAACAATTTCATAGAAAGGGCTCAGTAAAGATGACTCATTATTACTGTTATCCTTATTTCCCAAAAGGTAATTACACACACAATTTGTTATCTTCTTTTTTTTTCTATTTATAGCAAGGTAACCTTCCAAAGAAAGCTGCCTTTATTCCAAGTTCTCTGTGCAGCTTACAAATAATTCTCATCAAAGGGCCACACAATAATCACTCCACTGGCTCATATGGTCAAGGGTTGCAGGTTTGTATGATCAGTTTCTCTTCATGAAATAGAAAGTAACACACAAGTCTACAACAAAATTCTAATGTGTAAATATAAACAATTTATTCTTTTTCTCTATGTTCTTTACATCATCAACAAAATTATGAATAATAAACAATTATAATTACCAAATGCATATTATTATATATAATATCCATTCATAGTAGCATTATTAAATTTTTACATTTGGAGTTTCATTCGAACTTCATAAATCAGGGAGGTAGACTGTATAGTGTATACCATTTTTAAACTTCACAAATTAGAAGAGAAATATAGAATTTTATTTTCCCACTGGGGCCTGAAACAGGGCCTTCACACTCAGGGAAGGCCCTTTGAAATTTTGAGACAGGGTCTCATTAAATTTCTAAATTGCTCAAGCTGAGATTCATGTTAACGTCCCCCAGGCTTGGTCTCCCAGAGTGTTGAGATTACAGGCGCCTTAACTATTAACACTGGTAGAATATGACTTTCTGATTGTGGTAGCCAGAGTTTAGAAAACAGCCATCTCAAAGCACACTAAGGAGTCACACAGAGCCTCCGTGGGTGAAGTGAAGTGGTGTGTCCTAGACCTACTTCTCATCAGGGTTCCCTAAAGCTCTTTCATTCATGTATCATTGCAGGACAATGGTAGGAAAGGGTGTTGCATTACTGCTAATAGTGTTTATAATTCCACATAAAACTTACCTATCCCCAACATGTCAAGGAGATAAATTTGAAATGTAACCATTTATCTATGAAGCGCAAGCCCCTTGTGACCTAGAAAGTTTCCTGGTCCAAAGTATGAAAAATGCCAATAATTTCTGGACTTCAAATTCAACTACTGACTTACATTTTTGAAATAAGATTCTAGGAGATAATCATCCTTCTTTTACTTAATAAATACTTATTAAGTGTTTTATTTTTGCGGGTCCCAGGGGATATACAAATTATCCCTGTTAATTTGTTTTAAAAAATAAGTCTTCATTGTCATTTCTGGTAAACTTACTGGTAAGTGTAGGACATGCAGTCTAACAAATTGCCATAAACTACTCAGAGGCAAAATTGAAATTCAAGTTCACTAAAATCTGGCTCCGAAATAGTTTCAGTCTTCACTAATCCAGGGTGCCTAATCAGAAATTATGGCCTCATTAAAAGAATTTACTGATTTTCCTTCTATCTAAAGTACTATGTCATTTTAATATGGTTGGAAGTCATTATTCTGATGATGCAACATATATCTGTCCAATCGTTGGACATTGATTTTACAACTGTGACATCTGATGTGTTTATGAGCTCATTAAACATTCTCTTTTGCTTCCCTCATTTAATTTTCCACCATAAAACAGAAAAGCACACTACGCAAAAATACTTCCTAGCCCTCAAAACATCAATTTGGAGAGAGAGTTTTTCTTAATTTTTTTATTCATATATTACAGAGGTTAAAAAAAAAAAAACTTGAAGGTATATTTATAAACCTCAATAGGATTAAGGGCCTCAAAGTTCAAATTCTGGCCTCGACTACTAATTAGTTGTGTGACTGACTCTAGCAGTGTCGCTGTGGAAAAAAATCACCCTGAAATTAAGTGGCTGAAAACAGTAATGGGAACATTGTCTTACATTTTCTGCGGTCAAGGATTTGGGACAGGTTTCTGAGCAGTGTGGCTCCAGTTCTTTACCAGCAGTCGGATAGTGGCTCATGCTAGAAGGGCAGGTAGGAAATGGGGCTGCTGGGGTTTTGTCAGTCATCTCTAAACCTCTGTCTCCCTCCCTCCATCCTTGTAACTGCCGGCTTCCACCAATGGCCTCGCATTTGCACTCAGTCCCCTGGAGCTTCTCCAGCCCCGCAGTGCCAGGGCCTTTGGATGGGCGGCACTGCACCTCCCGGTTCTGGTGAAAGCCCTCCAGCAACCAGGTGGGTGTGGCTTCCTTCTTGAACTGATCTTGCAGTCTCTCTTCGTCACTTCCACCACATTCTGTTGATTTCACATGAGCCCCAAACCGACCTAGACTTCAGCAGAAGTTACATGGGAATGGCAAGGTTTGTGAAGAACATGTAGAAAAGGAGATCTGTTGCTGTCACCTTTGGAAAACAAAACGGGCCACTGAAACCTGTGTCCAAGTATCTAAATTTCCTAGGCCTGGATTTCTTTACGTATAAACTGGGCCTACTACATAGCTTAGTGCCTTCTCGTGTTTCTTGGTATTTTTAAAGGAGATAATATATCTTAATTGTTTAGAACGATACCTGAACCAAGAATGTCTCTCCATAAATTGTAGCCATTACTAATATTCTCAGGTCACAGAACAACTGTCACCTAGCAGGACTTCCTCATTATTCTCACGGTTTTGTCAGACTCTTCTCAAATTCACAGACTGTGTACTATTTTTTTCCCAATAAATCTTCATAGATTTTATAGTAATCGCGTGCTCCTGTGTCTAGGTCCTCCGAGCACTGTGAACTCCTCAGGAGCAGAAATCAAAATAGCTGCCCAAGAAATAGAAATCGGTTTATTTGCAAATGGGTTTGCCCACAGCAAAAGTACAAACACCAGCACTGCAAATGCAAAGCAAGGACAACGGTTGAAGCATGGGAGGGAGCACAAAGGAAGAAGGCAGGAGATACACTGACTTCCAAGTAGGCTTACTCTTCTAGCCACTCTTTAGAAGCTTTAATAAGGAAGAATAGGAGATGAGATTTCCAAATGAAACAGCAGAGCTGTTAGTTAGTAAAGTCTGGTCTTAAATTAACATCCAGAGAGTAGATTTAATTTGTTCTAATAGACTAGCTCAAATTTGCTACTATTCCTATCACTGCAATTTAGCATCTAAAGTGTCCAAAATTAAAAACATTTGCTGAGAGAAAACTACATTTGTGAGTGAACAAAAGCTTTAAATGTTGTAAGTGTATAGTTTTCTATTTCACTTAAAGAGAAATCAACATTAAAGCTAATCTCATGCAACAACACTATCTATTATTGGTTATCATATATAAATGTATAAGACCTTTACCAACAAGGTCTGCTAGCTCCTTGGCCAGCAGTAGTATGCCTATAAATCATTGGAAAGCCTGCAAAATCATAAGCAGAACTTGCTGTAAGAATAATCATTTAAATTCACTGAAAAAGAAAATCACAGTACATTAAAATTTCAAAAAGCCATTTGTGAATAATACCACCCCAGAATTTTCATCTTTTTCCCTAGAGCCCAGAGATGTTTAAAATGGATTTTTTTAGTCGAACTCTAGGAATGTCAGATCTCAGGAAAACAGCGGCGAAGAGACTTAATTAGCTGTGATGAACGTTGATTATACAGCACGGCTATAACAATGATTACAAAAGAAAAAAAAAAAAAAAGGAAGAGGTGATGCATCGGTCCTACATATCAAGTGTGGTTGTGCAATTAGAGAAATTTAATCACAGCAGGCAAATGTGATGTATTTGTGTTTGTACCATTTTAAGGATTCAGACAGAGCTATGCTCTGAAATACCAAAAGATGAAACCATGACTTTCATATGTTTTTTCACTAAGCCATTTAATTCTTGAAAATATTTTTGTTACTTCTTTCTTTTGTCCCTGCCCATGACAGAAAACTCATTTTTTTCTCAGCAAAATACTTTGCACTTTTGTCTCATTACAGTGCTTTTGTCGAGAGTGATCATTAGACTCGGCAGAAGGCACACATATGCTAACAAGGAAAAGGGACCTCTATTTCATCTGAAATATTTGCTTTCAACGATATCCTCCTTTGAGTTTCTAAAAGGGAACAGAATGACCGTGCTTAGGCATGAAGCCATGAATGACAGGAATGTTCGCCAGCTCTGTGAGATCAGCCAGGGTTGACCCATGAATAAATTCCCAAATGCAAGAAGTCATTTGGTCAGTAGAACGTCAGCAAGAGGCAGTAACCTGCTAGGAGGCCACAGAGTTTGTCTTCAACAAGAGTCTGGCTTGCAGCTTTCTGGCTTTTGATTTCCCGAAGAAGTGATGGATGAGAAGAACGGGTCACCCAGGAGAACAAAACCAAATGGAAACAACACAGAAGGCCTGAAAGACAAGTGTGAGCTAGCCATCTTCTGTTCAGAAAATTCTTTGTTGCGCTGATTACCAGTAAAAGCATTTGCTCTGAACATGTGTTTTTGCAACTATTGTTCTATAATTAGGTGTTTGTGCTAGAATTAGGAGAAAATATGGAAAAGCCGTTCTTGCTTTATATTGGTAAGAAGTTCCTGTGATAGCACTGATGAAGTTGGACTAAACTATATAATTTACCATTATGATAGTGTATCCATGTTTTCCCTAGAAAGTCCAGTCCAGAATAATAAAATAAAGAAATGGCATGAATCCACCATTGGAAGCTTGCACAAAATACTTTATGCATTAATGCTTGGTGCAGTTTCAATATTAGATCCATATACTCTTTTACAAATTCAATAAAGACAATGAAAATATATTCATAAAGATGAAAATTTGCTTAGAGAGGTTCAGAATTGTATCATCCTACGATTCAAAAGTTTTTTCCAAAAGGCAGAAAAGTTTCTTTTTGATAAAAAATGAATTTTGTTACAGATATAATGTGAAAATAAGAAGCAAGCACCAATTTTTACTACATATTTTAAAGCTCTTCAAGCAACGTAGACTTCTTAAATTATTTTTGTGCACATATTTATAAAAGAAATTAAACATTCCCTTCCCAGCCCCAACAGACACACACACAAGCCAAACTGATTTCAGTGAAAGTCTGCACCCGACATCAGAGGGCTCATGCCTGCTGCAGCAAAGCAGGCAGCACACAGAGCATTGAGCAGGGCTGCCTGCAAACAGCCTGTCCCACCAGAAGGGAGGAATGGTCTTGTTTTCTCTCAGAAGGAAGCTGAGTTTAGGCTGTCAGGTCTTCTTCCCTGTCAAGTTACGCATTTCATATGAAATCTGTCAATCCTTAAATGTTAGCCCAATTTATACCAATCAAACAAAACATGCTTTGGATTGATTTGGGCCCACAGGCTGCCACTTGGCAAACTACTCCATTCTAAGGCTGCAGCCTGGCTTATCAAGTATAGAACAAATGTCAGTGATGAGCTGTGGCCAGCTGAGGAAACAGAGTCAGAAAGCTGGACCAGGCTGATGATCCCCATCAGAGATGAGCAAGGTGTACACTTTAAGATTTGACATAAATCACTGCGCAGAAGTCTGGGAAATTCAGTATGTAAGAGTCTTTTCTAATAGTCCACAATTACTCACTTCAAGTGTATCCCCTGGATGTCTAAAGACAAGAATAAAAATTAAAGCCTTCAATTTTTACCTTAGTGTGTTTCAGCATTTTCATTCTTAGCTACAAGAATATGACAAGCATAAGAAAAATGGGACAAAATTAAGAACCAACCCATTATATGTGAAGAATACCCTTTCCACTACTCAGGAGGTTTTCTTGAACCAAGTTTCACTACCTTGACAGTCTCTGAGAAGGCTGGAAAAGTCCCTTGCCAGAGTGGAATGCTCACGAGCTGCTGGAGGACAAGGTCGCCCGCCAGGAGGATGGGGCCGCACAACTCCTGCATTCTACTTAGAAGACAAGCAAGGGCAAGCACAACAACACCATGACCACCTCCAAGGTAAGGGAAAATGAAACTCTGCTTCTTGAAAGAAACTGCTATTTAGAGAGAGAAGGAGAAGAGCGTACCTGGATTGGAAGCAAGGTCAGGCTAATAAAAGCAGTAAATAGAAATTGTCACTCTGCCTAAAACATAGCACCTAGATTTCAAACCAAATTAAGGATGAATTCTAATGCTACCTTGCAAGGCCTCAACAATAGAGAAAGAAAATAATCACATTCCCCATGGCCCTTCTCTAGCTGGCTTTAGTTCTTTTCTACAGTTTCAATATAATATGGTTTTGAGAATTAAAGGCACTCAAAGCACTATTTGCATAAGGACGCATGCTTTCTCTACTAGAATCCCGGCAGGCTATTTTGATTCTTGATACTCCAGAAGAGGAAGTGAAGCTCAGTGAAATTATATGCTCATGGTCACTGAGCTGAGGAGAAAAAAAATCAAGATTAAAATTCAGTAAATCTTTAGATGCTCAATGTAATGACATTCAAGTGCACATGGTATGATGTGAATTTATATATCCTCCCAAAGTTCTCCCCACTGTTGTGTTCTTTGTCTTGGTCAGTGTCAGCTCTTTCTGACCTTGCTGTCCTTGGGTGATTTCTCCTGCATGGTCTAAGGCAACTAATACAGCCTCATTCTCTAACTAGTCATTGTAAGTTGAGATTATAGTGAATTGTTTAAATATTGGCTGTCTTGCTCACCAAAAAGCCCAGGGCAGAAATAGAGAATAGAAACAACTCTACTAAGTGGAGAAAATGAAATGGTGGTATTGCCGGAGCAACAGGACTAGAGACAAGAGCTTTGAGCCCGAATGTTCAAATTGGAAAGAAGCCAGTGCATTTGCAGGGTAAAGGAGATAGGCATGCATATGATAGAAATTAATTTCTATTTACTATCTCGTATGTCCCTAAAGGAGCACCAGGGAGAAGAAATAATTTGGCAAATGCATCTTTTGTGTTTAAACATCAATTTCGACTTGTGAGAGATACTTGCCTTTCTAATATTACACTCTCTATAAGTAGAAAAGATTCAGAAAATAAACTTTCTAAACTGTTTATGCATTAAATCTTATTTTGACTTTTAAAGCGGAAATGAATTTCAGTAAAAGTAAAGATCCATGATAAAATAAAGACACAGGCACCCAGCTTAGCTCATATTCTTTAAGGACCAGGGTCTTTCAGAAACACAGCCATGTATAGTTTGTCATATCATATACTTAAATTTAAAGTATGTTTAATAAAAGGAATTAGCTTACACCAGAAATGTGACCCAAGATTCACACACACACACACACACACACACACACACACACACACACACAGCATTAGTGTAGTGGGACAAAGATCGGAGAGAAGATGCTTGCTTTCCTGAAGCCTGTGAAGTGAGAAGTCCCTCTGACCTTTTACCCGCAGCCTTACCTCCCAGATGACAAAGCTGCTATTGATCATGATCCCCTGGCTAGTTCTTGAAAGGTAAAATCCACGTAATTACTGCTGCTGGTTGAAGAGTTATGTTTGAGCAGAAAGAAGGGCTTCGACTATCACTATCTAATAGCTGACAGCTCTATAACTCTATACTTGTAAACCCATGTGTTTTTGAATCTGAACTTCTAAAGCATTTTAATTACAGACAAACTTGTTTACAACTCGACACCCGGCACATAGTCAAATTAGCTCATGTTGGTATATTCACCTTCCCCTTCTCTTCAGTCCCTTGCCGCTTTCTTCTGATGCCTCTCCACCAGTCATTGTCACTGTGCATTCCTCTCTTGCTGAGGACAGTGGTGGCTATAAAATTTGACTCATGAAAATATTAAGGAACATTCTATTTCCCTTTGTGATTTTTCTTTTAGGTTCTTCATATAAAGCAAGATCAGACTGCAACCTGCCTTTGATTGGAAAACCAAAAGATCTGCCAGTTTATATTTTTGGTACCTACAAAACATCTGTTGCTTGGGAAAGTGGACTCATTCACAAAGTTTATCATCATCAAATCAAACTGTTGCAAACCTCATAATATGAGAGCCGTCTTCGTATTTAATAGTAAACTCACCAGGCTTGTGGGCTGATGCCTGATAAACCAACTTTTTGGAATTTTTACTCATTGTTTATGCTTATTATATCACTTTGTGCCTCCTGAAACCTCTTTAGATTCCCTTCAAGCTGATAGCTGTTTCCACAATTTCCCAAAAAATGCATTTTAAAGTCACCAAGAGTCTCCTCCTGTGAGCCCAATGGCCTTTTCTCCACTAAAATTTGCCTTAAGCCATTGCAGGTACAAAGAAAGTTCCCAACTGGGGCCAGATTTTCTATACAATACCCACACACCCTTTGTCTCCATTTCATTCTTGATTTCCAGACTAATTATCCTTAAGAGACATTTGCATCTTATTGTGTTTCTGCCCTAAGACCATCAACACCTTTCTTGTTACTATTGTATGAAATGTAAACTATTTTACTAGTTTTGCCTGGTCCTGCACCAGTTTGTGTACAGCAATTTTTAAAAATTATTTTTATTGAGAAAGAAATAGCAACGAGACAGTTTCAGAACAGGCTAGTAGGACAGTTACAAAAGTTAATACATTTCATGTTTTGTCTTCATAGCAGTTATCCATAGTTCAAGATGCAGACATGATATCTTGTCTACACACTATTAGTGCCAATCTTTCTTCTCATTGAATTAAGAGAAAGTAGCTGTATATCTATCCTAACTACTTTGTATATATATATATATATTTTTTTTTTTCACTACAAAATGGTCCTTCATTTATATCCCCCTTTTTGTTTAGTTTTTGTCAGAGATGGGTACTCCATTGCCATTCAAATATTGTAGGTGAGTGAATTCAGCAAAATGATCCAATGTAGTCCAGTAGACCATAATAGCCAGTTCTGCGGATAACAGCAATTATGTTTTGACAGGCAAACATAGGAAACATTAACCTAGTAGTCTGTATGCTTCAGTCATTTCCCAAGAAGGAAGAGAATATATGACAGTGATAGCAAAGAATTCAGAGACAGGGGCTGGAGAGATGGCTCAGTGGTCTAAAGCACCTACTTAGAACAAGCTTAGCAAGAGCATCAGGGACCGCGGTTCAATCCCCCAGCCTGGAAGTCCAGGGAAGCCGGTCTCCCCTGTGGTGTGTGGTCTGTCTCTCCACCCCCACCTCCAGGGCTACTCTGTCCCTGCTCTCTCTCTCTC